CAGACGCCTGCCTTGCCCCGAACCCCAGCATCTTTGCTACAGTGCTGCAGCTTCATCCCGAGGCCGGGGGGTCACCCACAGGAAGCCGTGGGCCTGGCACCCCTGAGATGCACAGCCACAAATGGGGCAGAGGTCAGGCCAGCTGGGTCTGCGCCAGGTGTGCTGTCTGGTCCCCTCAGTCCCTCCTGGGGACACCGTGGAAGTAGGGCACCCACTTCTTTCTCTAAGCCTAAGGGATGGGGCAGGGTGAGACTGAGCTGGGCCTGCACCCTGCAGACAATGCTGCCTTCTGGGCAGAGCGAGCTGCCTCCAGGAGAGGAGAGCTGGGAGTGGGCGCTGTGGGGGGCAGTGCACAGGGGAGCCCGTCGGCGTCGGCAGGCCCTCCCGAAGGAGCCCAGGTGTTTCCTTCATTTCTCCCTCTCCGGTCTTGACTTTGGAGGACAGACACCTGACAGTCTTGGGCAGGTCCATGGGCTGAGGGTGGTGTCCAGGATGGGGCAGAGATGGTGCCTGGGTGAGAGAGGGTGACTCAGCCTGCTCTGTCACTCCCTCTGGGGGACTGTCTCACTCCCAGAGCCTTTGTTTCCCCAACTGCACAAGAGGACAGGAAATGCACACTCAACCCTTCTGGTGCAGGCTAAGTGACCCGGGATAGGCTGGGGCAGGTGCCTGGGCCCAGCAAGGCCCACCTGTTTGCACTGCTTTGCATCAGCCCAGGAAGCTCCAGCTTCAGTGGGTGGGGGAGCCGTTGCCCTTGGCATACCCACAGCCCTCCCAGCCCCCCCCCAGACGGGGGCAGCTTGTGTGGGGTCCATGTGCGCTGTGTGTGCCCCCAGGAAGCAGTGCCTCAGGGATTTGCATTTCTACCCATTGCAGTGTCTTGCTCCAGAAGCCCGAGTCCTGATGCGATCTCACCCGTCTTGCACCTGGCAGGGGTGAAGGGCGTCTTGTGGGACCCCAGGGTTGGGAAAGAGAGCAAAGACCTCAGCTCTCCAGGCTTCTCCTGATTGCCAGGGCGTGGGGCAGCCGGCCAAGCTCCTCTGGAGCAGGTTGAAGAGGCACCCGAATTCAGGCTTGGGCACTGGGGTCCTGGGCCTCTTGACAGCTTTCCTGTCCCCGCCCTGCTTGGCTGCAAGCTCTGGGAGGGGAGGAGGAGGAGGGTCTCGATGGGCCCGAACTTTCCAGATCCTGAACTGGAGCCACCTGCCCCGTGGAAGTCAGGGCACCCCCCTCCCCTTGATGCCTGCTGCCCAGCATGAAGACCCTGCCAGACCCTGGCTGCCTCCCTCGCACTCTCATGCTGGAGAGACGGACTAAGGACGAGGTGTCCCTGCTTCCCAGCCTGGGCTTGTTGCACCCTCCTGGGGCTTCCCCTCTCTATGCTTAGCCTTGGGTTTTTGGGAGCTGGTGTAGAAGATGGCTCCCCAGTGTTCTGTGGGTTTGTCAGAGCTCTGTCCTCTCTGGCACTCGTGGAGGGGGAGTCTGTACACTCTCCTGCGCCCTAGTGGAGCTGGGGTGTCACAGCTGAGCCAGGTACATGCAGGATGCGGAGGGGCTGGTTTGCGGGGGGATGGCGGTGCTGGACACTGAGGTGTGACCGAGACTCTGGTGGGTGTGTGCGCGACATTGTGTGGAAGGGCAGGACGCCTGGGTGCCCGTCACGGGCCCCTCCCCTGGCGTCCGGGAGGACCAGTGCACCGCTGGGGCAGGATGCTGGGACTGGCACAGCCCAGCCGCCTCGGGCTCCCGCCCTGGGCGTAGCTGTGTGCTGTGGGCTCTGCACTTTCCCAGTGCAGAAGGACACTGAACACGACACCCTGCGCCCTTCGCGGGCTCCCCTCCTGCCCCAGGTGTGAGGTCAGCCGGAGACTCAGGGGTTGCCCCCCGCCCCCCACTCTCCATTGCCTAGCTCCTCCCTTGCCCTGGGCCTGGCTGTGGCCCTTGGCCGCCCCTCTCCACTCACAGGACCCGCCAGCCCTAGAGCCAGGAGCAGGGTGAAGGCTGGGGGCAGAGCAGACCCAGCCCCAGAGAGCAGCTGGGTTTGGCCACTTCTCTGAAACACTGTGTGAGATTAAATGATGGTGCCTGCCTCGGACCAGTGCGAGCCACGCGGTCTGAGCGTGGCTTCACCAGGGATGGATGTGGCAGCACCTGCAGTGGCTGTGCTGTGGCCGCACCTTGCTGGCTGACTGATCAGGCTGCCCTCTGCCCCTCCTCCTGTTTCCTTACAGCCCGTTTTTAGTGTTATTTTAGTAGACCTCCCAAGAGCAATGTCAGGAACCCGTAGCTCGAGATCACAGCAGCAGTCAGAGCGGCCTCCTGACAGGTCAGTGGCCAGTGACGCAGGGCCTGGGTTTCCCAGCTTGCATTCCACCCTTTGAGACAACACTGGCGAGAAATGTCACCACCACCATGGGGACCTGGGCACCTGGCCCCGGTGAGTGGCTCCGAGGCTGTCCTGGCTGGAGCCTGCGGCTGGGGAGGCCTGATCTTTATTCACGTCACCACGTCTGCTTGTCCTGATGCCTCCAGAGAACTGAGTGGTGGGGTGAGTTCCCCAAGGACGCAGGCACGTCTGCACCGCCTCTGCGCCTCCTCCTCAGCTGCGAGGGCCGATCCTTCCACCTTCTGTTCTCTGCCCACTGAGTAGGCCTCCTCTCCTCCACCTTTGAAAGAGGAGCTCTCTCCCAAGCCAGGGGACTCGAAATGGAGCCCTCGGTTTTTCTGGTGGCTGCAGGCAATCACTTAACCCCCGTGACCACCGGGGACAGGAGGCCAGGGCTGAGGCAAACACAGAGCCCCCTTTAATCAGCAGGAAGCGCTGTGCTTCTCTGTGCTGCTTGCTTGGCCGGTGAATTAAACAAATCCATAAAGCATCGATTTTGCACTGGTAGGTGAGGGTTTTGGGGAAGTAGAATTCAAACAGAAAAAAAAAATGTTTTTAAGGAGCCCCGAGATGAACATGCACTTGCTGGGGACAGTCCCCACGGGGCTGAATCAGACCCCGATCTCGCCCCGATAGACAGAGGCAGCCACGCCCCAAAGGAGTTAAGAATGCTCTAGGAAAGCGGGCTGCCAGTGCGATTTTGTTTGTGAGCTCTGTGCGGTTACCAGTTCCAAATAATAAGGTGGCATGTTAATTACCCCCCCTTCTAATTTACCTTTCTGCCGCACACAGTCGACGGGAAGCGTACAGGGTGTGCTTTCAAACCTAAACAACTCGGGCTTTGGGGCGGAGGCCCCAGGCGGCAGTTCAGTTGCTGCCTCTCTGAAAGGAGCCCACCAGCCAATTAAAAAGGAACCGTTGGCCACTTAAGACATAATCATTACTTCTGTGAATACTGCTAAATTAAATAAGTGTTATCCGCATGATTTTTTTTTTTCCGTGACTTTGGTTTCTTTTGAAAGAAAACATTTTGTGATTCCTCAAGTCGGTCTGTTTGCAACCAGTGTGAATCTGAAATCACTTTTCTTGTGCTTCGAAGTTCTCCTCTCCCCTAGGCTTCTCTTCTGCCAGCCAAAGTCGGGGTGCAGGGAGGTCCCCGGCCACCACCGCCGAGGGTCACCACTGCAGGTTTAGGCTCGCAGATTGGCTTTAGGCAGGGGCCTGGGCAGATGGATCTGGACTGGGGCAGCCGGCACGAGAGAGGAGCAGGCTTGCCCGGCCCCGCGGCCCTCCTGGCTGTAGCCCAAGGAGGTGACGCTCACGTGACATAAGAAGTAACCATTTTAGAGCGAGCCATTAGGTGGCCTTGAGCATGCAAGCTGTCACGCGCAGCCATTGTGCGGCTCCATCTAGCTGTAAATGCCCTCGACACCCACAGAGCCTTGTGCCAGCAGCCGTGCCCCGTCCCTGTCACCTCCTGGCCACGTCCTGACTGTGGACTTGCTGCTTGCAAACGCCCCCAGATGGGGGCTCATTCCCTGTCTCTGTGTCAGCTTTCTTGCACTGTGCCTAGAGTGTCTTTATTTTTATGGGACAGGTGATGTGAGTGTTTGTGGGCTGCATGTGTCGGGGCAGGCACACCTGGAGGAGGACAGAACCACCCCTCAGTGGGGCGCGGGGCTCGGGGCTCAAAGTCACAGCCAGGAGTAGGTTCTGGCCTTGACAGGAGGTGGCTGCCACTGACGGCAAGGCACCTTGCAGAATGGCTGCGACAAGGCCTTAGACACACGGGACGCTGTGATGCCTCAGCCCCCCAGCACAGGCGCTCTCTCCCCACCGCGGGCATCCATCCGCGCGCAGCTGATGGACACTTGGGCGGCTCCTGCTGGTTGGCCGCTCCCCGGCCGCCTGCTGAGTCTCCACTGGCAGGTGCTGGGCCAGCTGCTTCCTTCGGATGGACCCCGCCCCATCTGGCGCCAGGTTTGCTCCTGTCCTACCCACGCGCCTCAGTCTCCTCTCTGCGCACTCCAGGGGGTGCAACCCCTCATCAGCCTTCACTAGCATGGATCCCAAAGAAAAGCCCTCGCCTGCCCTGCTCTGTTTGCACAGTCCTGTGACCCTCAGCCCTGTGAGGGGGACCCCAGAAAGCCTGCTCCCTGCCTTCCTGAGCTCATCGGACACTGCCAGGAACTCTGCCCAGGGCCCAGCCGCCCCCAGAGGGGTGTCCAGAGAAGCCTCATGCTGGGGCAGGAAGTCTGAGCAAACTGCACATGAACCCCTGTTCTGAGTTCTCCTGAGAACTTAGGGTCCTCAGTTCCCCATTTCCCAAGGCAGGAGATGAGAACCGCATGGCTCCGGGGTGACAACTTCTGGTCACCGTGGTGCTGCTGCTCAGGGCTGCCTGGCTAAGGCACTGGTCCCTGAGGCTGGCGGCCTTTGCCTGGGAGCCTCTGGCATCCTGGGCCAGCTGCTTGCTTGGGGTGCACAGAGGCAGCCTCTGCCCGGCTGGGGCAGTGCTAGGCCTGTGGGCGTGTTGGTGCCCGGGGCCCAGGAGGGCCTAGCTCCTGGGTTTGTTGTGTCCCTGCAGCCGCTGACTCCACTTTATGTCCTTTAGGTGACGGAGACGTTGTGAATAATATGTATGAGCCCGACCCAGACCTGCTGGCTGGCCAGAGTGCCGAGGAGGAGACCGAGGACAGCATCCTGTCCCCCATCCCCATGGGGCCACCATCCCCCTTCCCCACCAGCGAGGACTTCACGCCCAAGGAAGGCTCGCCCTATGAAGCCCCCGTCTACATTCCCGAAGACATTCCTGTCCCGCCGGACTTTGAGCTGCGGGAGTCCTCCATCCCTGGGGCCGGTCTGGGGATCTGGGCCAAGCGGAAGATGGAGGTTGGGGAGCGGCTCGGCCCCTATGTGCTGGCGCCCCGGGCTGCGCTGAAGGAGGCTGACTTTGGATGGGAGGTGAGCATGGTCGAACATGGCCATTTATCTTGTGTTCAATCTATTTATAAAGCCGGGTGAGCAGCCACTGCCCGAGGCAGGAGGCACGGGCGGTCTTGGGCGGAGAGAGCCTTCGAATGTCACATTTCCCAGGGTTATTTTATCCTGCAGCCCGCATGACGCGACTCAAAAAACATCAGCGGTCCTCGTGGACGCCCGTCGGCCCCTGTAGGCTCCTCCCGGAAATGTGTCTTTCATGAGCTCATGTCTTAAAATGTCCCACGCCACTGCCAGATGCTAGGTGCTAACATGCCACCCCAGCTGGGGCTGAGTGGGGTGATCAATTGAATGGGCCAGAAGCGGTGGCGTGGCTGTGGGGTCCTGCCTGGGCAGTGCAGGAGCCCCGAGTGACCTGCGTCTGCACCGGATCGTGCAGGTACCAAGGCTTCTTGCCCCGCCTGGCCCCAGGGCAAAAGGCCCTGCTTGCCCGGATGGCGCAGGAGCCTTGAGGATCAGGACAGCAAGGTGCGCTGGGACAGACAGGGGCAGTGTCTCCAAACATGTCCCTGCAGTGGCCAGCTGCTCAGGCACAAGCGATGCTGGGCCGGGCCTGGGATGCCTCAAGGTGGCCTGAAGGGACAAGCGCACCCCAGAAACGCACTTGGGGCCGAGTTCCCATGTTGTTTTGCAGGCATTTTGGCTGGGCAGAAAGTGGGAGTGCCAGGCTGGGGTTTCACAGCTCCTAAGCGCTGCACCCTCTGAGTCAGGGCCGGGAAGGGCAGAGTCCAGGGAAGGACGAGGCAGCAGGAAGTGGGGTGAGTGTCTGTGGGGCAGGGGTCCTGTCGCCTGTCCCCCACTTCTCAACGCAAAGGCTTTGGAAACGTTTCCAAGCTCATCTGCCAAGAGAGGGCCGACTCCGGTCAGCCTGCATCTTCCTCGAGGCTGTAGGGTCCGTGGGCTGCATTCGCCGCCTTCCTCTCCACGCTCCCTGGAGAGTCCAGAACCAGCAGCCGGTTGCAGAGCCTGGGCCAGCTCAGAAGCCCAGCACAGGAGCTGGGATGTGCTGACGGGCCTGCTGGGTAGCAGGTCCATGGAAGTGGCCATGGACCCCAGCGCTGACCTGGCAGGGCTCCTGCTCTTCAGCGGGGTGTGCGGGTTCCCCGGTAACCCTGTGTGGCTCTTCTCCTGGGCATCTGGACCTGAGCATCAACCTGAGCCTCCAGCTCTTAGAGGGCTCTGATGACCCGGTTGGAGGGTCGGCCGAACCAGGGGGCTCAAGGAAAACGTGTGCAGACCCCACCATGGGCCGGCTTGGTGGTGCCCGCAGCGCTCCACACTGCGGTGAGAGGGGTGGCTTGCAGCCCCAGCTGGGCAGAGGCAGTGGACAGTGCAACGTGTGTGGCAGAAGTTCCAGGTCACCTTGGGGCCGACTGGCCAGGGGCCAGGGGGGGAGTCGCAGGCCTTGGTGGCACATGACAGGTTGTGTCACAGTCCACATGTCGTCCTTGGGGCTGGACGAGAGTGTTTTGAAGCCATGTGACAGGTGAGCGTTGGGGGCTGTGTGCTGCAGTCAGCCTCGAAGAAGTGGCTGTGCCAGCTCCCCCTGCCCGGCAGGAGCGGGGTTGAGGGCATTTGTTCGAGGCCCTTAAAAAGATCGGAACTATTTAATTAGTAGGTGGCACTTGGATGCTGGAGGGTAAATGAGCCCCACAGGTAGTACCGTGGTGACCTTGAGGTGACTTTGTTCTTGTCTGCGCTGATACGAGTTTGTTTGCTTTTACTTTCTAGTTGGTTCTCTTTTTTTTAATTTTAAAGAAATGGCCCGTATCTCCGCGGCTCCCACGGTGCCAGGCCTGGTACGAGCCGTCGCTATCACCTGTCTGTGCTTGTTGACTCTGCAGTACTGTTGATTCTCCATGTACGTGGGGGTGTGTCCCCTCCTCTGGGTTCCTCCTCCCTCTGCGGAGAGCTTTGTCCCATGGTGGTGACCCGGCAGCGTCCTTTCATGCCTGCACTCAGAAATATGCCCTTAACTCCGTGTCCTCAAGTGCTGCTGCCGGCGCACCCACCACCATGCGCCTGGCCTTGTTTTCTTTTCCAGTTCAGGCCGCCTTTACAGTTTTGCGATAGCCCCTGGGCTTTCTTCCTGCCGCAAGTAGCTGAGATAGCCGTGGTGTCCTGTTGTATCCTGCCAGCAGCCCAGGGTGGGACTGACAGGAGGAGGTGGCCACCAAGGGCCCCGGCCAAACCACCTTCACCTGGGGTTGACAACAAGGGGCGTCAGGCTCGTTAGCCTGGGCTCTTGGGCAGGAAAGCTGTCCCTGCCTCCCGGACTGGCTAGTGGAATTTTCCACCGCATCCTGGAGAGCTGGGTGCTGCTCCGCTGGGTTCCTTGGCCTTCCCGGAGGTGCGCAGGCTGCTCGGGAGGGACACCCAGCCGCAGCTGTCCCCTCCCGGGGTCTCCCTTGACTTCCTCAGGTTGTGCCTTATCTCCTGATTGCAGCAAAGCAGGGCGAGGTCAGCATGGAAACCCGTGCCCGGCGCGCTCTGGGCTGGCAGCAGAGGGCCTCCTGGAGCCGGCACTGCCCGCCCTTCGGCTCACCCACGTTCTCCAGGGAATGCGGGCTACTGTAGGGCAAGTTCGGCGCTCCACTGGAGCCAGGCCCAGGCTGTCCACCATTGCCCGAATTTCACTCCTAGTCGTTCTCTCTTGCTTTGGTAATCAGAATTTAAGAATCAGAGCAACTGAATACTACTATCCCGAACACCGTATCCATTTACTATAAAGAGTAAGTGGCGACAGCCTTGCAAAGGTGACAAGAGGTCGAGGGGGCCCGGCTTGGCTTCAGGGTCCAGGCCAGGCTGAGCCCAGGCCCCAGCTGCCCCAGGGCCCGGGAGCCTGTCCTCACAGGGACAGCTGAGGGCCGTGGGCTGTTGGGGACCCGTGGGAAACACAGGTCACACTGATCATTCTGACTGACATTTGTGGGATGAGGGGCAAATTCATTTTCTGTCTATTCTGGCAACAAAGTTTTTCTGGACTGTTTGGTTCACATCAGATGAAAAGGTCTATAATTGTAACTCGAGGCACTGGGCACAGTCAGCACATAGCTTGGGGGTGACTGGGGCACCCACAGTTGTTCCTCTTTCCCCCACGTGTATTGATGTGGATGATGGTGCTGTCCAAGGCACCTAGGGTTGAGGCGTCCTTGGGCAGGGGACCCCCTGCTGAGGAACAGGCCTGGCTGGGGACTGAGCCTCTGCCGCCTTCCTGGCTCACACAGAGGCTGTCTCCCTCCCACCTTCTCTGTGTGCTGGGACCCCAAGGGCTCCTCCTCTCTCCCCAGGTGCTTTGAGGCCATCAGAATGGGACACTGTCATTGTAGAAGGAAAATTGTCCCATGAGAGACATTGTCCCCTCCTAGGCTGGGTGTGGGCACAGTGCTTGGAAACACTCCTGGGCGTGGTCTGTCAGGAGGGGCCCCATTTGGACACTGGGACTTGGCACTTTCCCGGACGCTGTGCCTGCCGGGACATCCCCCTGAGGTTGTGTTTTATTGCCCAGGGGTCTGTGGAAGCAGTGGTTTGGATCATGAGTCGAGGAAATCAGGCCATTTAGCGGGTGCTGCGTGCTTTGCTAATGAAGGACAGGCTGCAGAGACAGGGGCGGCTTGGGCCACCTGCCCCAGAGGTCTGCAGCTCTGTGGGAGGACCAGGGGCACCTGGGATTCCACAGACTCCAGGCACCATCTCCTCCCAGTTCCGCTAGATTCTTGGCACAGGTGTCCCCCCCAGTCAGCCTTAGGGTTCTCCCAGTGCCTGGCCTGGAATGGGCCCGGGCAGCTGGCACTCAAGTGGTGCCCATTTCAGAACCTGTTGAAAAAGTTACCAGGGCCTGATGGAGTTTCAATTATCTGGAGAATTTACCCAAGTGGCCGCCACATCACCCGGCACAACTCACTGAATATTAACAGACGTGTCCGTTTGTTCAATCGACAAACGGGCCAGGCCTGGGCCAGCGCCTGCAGGAAACTCTGTGGTTACTGGGAAAAATCCTAGAGCACATGGATGCTTCAGTTCCCGAGAGCAACCGCTCCGGGGCCCACAGAGGATGTCAGCGCAGGCCCAGTGCTGCCAGGGAGCCCCAGGCATGACTTGAGGCCCTGAGGGCCAGGAGGAGGCCTTGTGCGTGGTGGGCACGGGTGCACCGCCCTGATGCCAGCCCTGCAGGGTGGACGGGCTGCAGAGGACGCGCGGTGGGCACACAGTCTACTTCACACATGCTCCTGCCTGTGTCTGCACATCTGTTCTGGCCCAGCGCTGTAGCCTATGGGTGTGGGGCCCCGCTGGTGTGTGGCTCCTGGTGTGGGGCCCCGCTGGTGTGTGGCTCCTGGTGTGGAGGCCCCGCTGGTGTGTGGCTCCTGGTGTGG